GGTCGTTCATCAAATCCACCAAAAATCAGCCGTGTACAACTCAACCGACTTTCGCCACAAACTCAAAGACCTCAAGCAATCATCGTTACACCCCTCCCCTTCCCCACCTCTCCCTCCTCCTGGTCCTCAAAAACCGCTACTCGATGAAACAGAAAATGGGAAGGGGGAGAAAAAACGATCTATTATACTTCGTTTCAAAAAAAAAAAAAGAAAAATTAAGAATCAAATTGACCTTAACTGATTGTAAATTAAATTTTAGATGATGTGTGTTTATGTAAAAAGTAAGGGTTAGAAAGTAAGGGAATAAAAAGGGGATGTGAATAAGTTAAATCGGAATAAAAATCTGAATAGGAATGTTTCGGTCCATCAAGTCGCGTACCTTAAGTGATTTCAGAAACATAGTAAGCATATTTTTGAGCAGTGCTTTATACATTTAAAAGTTATAATTGCAAAAAATTAAAATCTGAGAGATATATTTAGTAACCTTAAACTTACTGTAATAAGCGATATGTTATCAGCTCGCATTGTTCCCCAAGCTCGTAGCGTATAACGCAAGAGCAATCGTGAATGATTCTGCAATCGGCCATCCTGAAAAAGTATTAATTCCCAATCAATCTGTACAATGTAGAATCAGGCAATGCGATCAGGTAGAAAGGCAATATTTTTCACTTTTAAGATTATCTTAACATAACTGATACTCATCTTCTCTCCTAAAATAGGGCAGGGCGCAAGGATATCGAATGCTTTTTCGTAATCGATTAAGCCGATTGTAGCATCCGGGCTGACTCTGAAAGCCGAAATGGCGAAGGCGCGATTGGATACAGAAAGCAAGAACGGTACGAGAAAAGAAGGTAAGAGTGAGATAAGACGTTTCGATCCAACAAGTTAAAGCCAAAAACGAAGCCAGTTCCTCAACCGGCATCATCTGCCTTAAGAGAGTCTTCTGTAATTTATCTACAAGTTAGCCTACTACCGTTTTATCCTGTAAACAAACGAAATGATTACTTTG